AGGTATTTTAACAATGAACTTTCTATTTCCAAATTGATATTATTTAATTTATATCTCAAAGATTCTTTATACTGTGGTCTGTGAATCTGACCAGAATACCTTTGGTAACAAATATTTTTAAACAAAGGTATGAAATTAGTATGAAATACTCAGTTATAAACTACTACTACCTCAAACTATATGCATGTGTTGACACATCGAGGTACTGATTGCTTTGTTTTTGTTTGCTAGGATCATCTTTTAAACCAAAAGTTTATGATAATATTTTTACATTACCAAACTAGAATATAGGTTGAGAAAATAGTTACTCAACATTTTAGATACATGAAATATTTTTTTCATCCTGTAATAATAGGACATGTTAAATATTACAGTTTAAATTAGTTTAAAATCCATGCTTTCATAATTAGTCTTTATGAGATGGACTTTTTGGGGGGTTATCTGAAAAGTCATGACACATTTTTATGTAGAGAAACATAGAAAAATACATCATGACTTTTCTAATGACCTAATAATTTATAGGTATATTATTTTTTAAAAGGTAGGTATTTTAACAATGAACTTTCTATTTCCAAATTGATATTATTTAATTTATATCTCAAAGATTCTTTATACTGTGGTCTGTGAATCTGACCAGAATACCTTTGGTAACAAATATTTTTAAACAAAGGTATGAAATTAGTATGAAATACTCAGTTATAAACTACTACTACCTCAAACTATATGCATGTGTTGACACATCGAGGTACTGATTGCTTTGTTTTTGTTTGCTAGGATCATCTTTTAAACCAAAAGTAAGGAAGAAAGTTTAAATCTAAGTCATCCTATTTAACTCTTTGGAGTCAATACTAATCATACATTAAGTAGAAAGCATATATTTTTAGAGCTGAAAGCATAATCTTGCTATTAATTATTAATAATGACCAACAGACATGAATTCTGCCACTAGCAGTAGGGAGCTGGCTGAGAAAACCATGAGACACACAATAGCAGACTGTGACACATTTACTTGTAGTTAATCATTCTGTACATTAATTACTGCTCTGTAGTCCTCTTACCTGTTAGAATATTACATGTCAAGTATGTGAAATATAATTTTCTTTGTCTTATAGGCTTATTTTGCTGATGGCAATAAGGTAAGTGTATTTTATGTATAGTATATGAAAAGTTTCTATATTCCAACATTCAGTATTCACAAACTTATGTGAAACCTATTTTTTGTTTTTTGTTTTTTTTTCCTTGCCTACCTTCTCTATTCCTACCTCACCTGCTTACCTCCCAAAAAGCAACAAGATCGTGAACCTGTGTTTTCAGAAGAACTGGGGCTTGCAATAGAGAAATTGAAGGATGGATTCACCCTACAGGGACTTTGGGAAGTAATGAGTTGATCTTGAGTTGAGCTGGATTTCTATTTAAAGATATCTCAAGATTAAAGACACTAGTCACTGGCTATTAAGCATGGAATAGTTTTTATATATGCAGCTTTTATATTTAAAACTGTTACAAAGAGTTTTTTAATAGTCAAGAAAAAAGTAATTTAGAAAACTGCCAGTTTTCTAAACATATATTTAAAAGTGATTGAAATGTATCTAGTTTGTAAATATGTTTATCTTGTACCTAATGCTTGTAAAGTATTAGTTTTCAGATATTAAATGACTGTATCATGTTGGGTTTAATAAAAAAAATTTATACAGTACCATTGAATGTTTTGAAAGTGTTATTTTAAAACATAAGACTATTCTTATGGAATAATCAAAATACTGGTTTTTAATTATAAAAATCTGGTTTAAATATATCATCACATAGCTCCAACTGTAAGCTAATTCTGCTATAGATTACCACCTTTAAATTTATCATTTTTAGATTATTTTTGTAACTAAAAATGATAGCTAACTCTGAAGCATATCAACCACTCTGTAAAGTTTGGCCACTGTTTTGTAAATAATTTCAATATAATTTCAACTAGAACACTTTTTGTAGAGGGTTTTGTCTTAGGATGCGTGTACTCACTGGAGAGAGAGAGATACAGAGAGACAGTGAGAGAGAAAGTGAGCAATCACATCCTGGGGGGTCATGGCCACACCTCAGTCCCTTCTCCCCCATTCTCCTCCCAGGATCATGAGCATGCATGCACACATGCCCAGCATGAGTTTCAAGCCACCAGGTCCAGGACTCAAACTACGGTCGACCATGTGGGAGTCTAACAACATAACCACTATGTCATCTGCTGTCTCCAAGGACACTTTTTTAAGAAAATAGTTTTGTTCATATACGGACTCTCCTTACTGTATTCATTGAAGCTTCCTGAAGTTTTCAAAAATAGGCTATTATTCGTGGTTAGGTGAGATTTAGTGACCTCTTTGGCATCCTCTAGTGTTTTTAGGCAGGAACTGCTTCAAAAGAAGCATGGTAAGGAACCTTTGTCAAATAACTGAAATTAGTCAAAGGAGCCATCATCTCTGACAGAAAAGGAGTGAGTGTGTAAAAAACATTTAAAATAAGGTACCAGTATATATACTGGGTTATCAGAAAGGTCTTGATGCAGTTTTTCTATGCAAAAATGTATCATGACTTTTCCAACAACCCAGTACAACCATAGACACATAGTACACCAAGTACTAACCTCGGTGGATTAAGAATCAATGAACAGAAGTTATACATTTGTCTCTTTATTAAATGGAAAGAATTTCTACATTTTTAAGGGATGGAGTTTTACAATTTATGTTAGAGGGATAAAAGTTGTTAAAATTTTTCTTGTGGTCACAAAATGCTGCCATAAATATTATTTAAATACTGTTTTCAAGCAAAAGAGATTTTATAAAACTGCTGACCAGTAAGAGATGATCTGAAATGTCATCTCATGGTGTTTGCATCTGACTCATTAATCTTTTCAAATGTTAGGTGTTATATGTAGAGAGAAATGAGTCATTTATTGTTTAAACAAGGAAGCAGCTGTTAGTCTTTTCTAGTGTGTTAAAACCTTTAGTGACATCTATAAATGGAAAAAGAAGTCAATGAGCTCTTCTTTCAGCTGTTGTTTTAGCAGCTGACAGGACCATTGACTTCACTCTGATGTAAAATAAGAGAAAAAAACCTTTACTCATGGATAGACACCTTTAAGTTTAAAAATACACAATCCCTGATCCGAGGGCATTCATTAATTCCATAAATGTTTCTGGAACACCCATGGCCCTGGGGCTATAGCATTAAATAAAACAAACCAAAAAAAAATAAATACCTATCTTCGTGGAGCTTATGTTCTTTTGGGCATGTTTAAGAATACTAATCTTTGAAATTATAGTATTTAGACAGCCCTACAAGTTCAAAAAATTTAACGGTGTGATTAAATAACAAAGTATTTCATGAAAAAGTATAGCATGTCATCTATGCATACATAAATGAGTATCAGTATTCTTTCAGATCATACTTTATGTATTCATTTCATAACATAATGTTCTAGTAAAATCAATTTATGAATCCAGTTACATATATATTTTTTAAAATAAGGACTGTTTTCCAAATTGTATGGGTGATGTAGCACTTACTTTGATTTTTCTTTTTTCTTTTTTTTTTGGAGAGGTTTTTGCTGTAGGGTGTGTGTGCTCACCAGACAGACAGAGAGAGACAGAGAAATCACTCCCCAGAGAGGATGGCCACACCGCAATCCCTTCTCCTCCATTCTCCTCTTGGGATCTTGGGCACACACGCACACACGCACACACGCCCAGCGTGAGTTTAAGCCACCAGGTTCAGGACTCAAACCGTGGTTGACTACGTGGGAGTCCAGCGACATAGCCATTATGCTAACTGCTGGTCCCATTACCTTGAATTTTCTGTGTTCTAGTGATAATGTTATTCTCACGGGGTTACATCTTTTCTATTTTTTAATCTTTTTATTTAAAGAAAAAATTTTCTTGTTTGTGCTATATTTTTTCTTTCATTTCCTTAATTTTTTTTACATTCAACCACTGTTCATATTTACAGCATACAAAATAAATTTCCCAGAATGCATACATTGTATATTAGTCCAGTCAAAGATATTACCATATACATTATCATCACCGGTTAGTTTTCCATTTTTGTGTTTGTTAAATGATCATGCATCTTCTTTTTCCCCCTTCCCTTTTGTTCTGGTGATAACCTTATTCTCATGGGATTACATCTTTTCTTTTTAAACTTTCATTTAAAGGAAAAATTTTCAACACCTTAAATTACAGAATAAAATCTTTAGTGATCTTATTTGTAAACAGATTTTTTTTTTCTTTCTCTAGCATTGACTTTCAACTCTTCTTTTTTTTTTTTTTCCTGGTCTTGATTCCTTTCAACCATTTGCCTTTATTTTTATCTCTTTTTATATATTATTCTTTACCACATAAAATCCTTTGTATGGTAAGGCAAGTTGTGAACAAATTAAATAATTATATATTTTTTCAATACTAATTATAGTTTTTCCATTTAAAGATAATTAAGAATGTCTTACAAAATTAATTTTTTCTGCATTTACTATTTTAATTGTGATGAAGGTATTATTTTAAAGGTTTTCTAAAACTATAACTATAGTACATAAGCAAATGTCTTTTAAATTTCCTACTTCTAAACGAAAAATCTGTATCTGCTGTTTTGAACAGAAAATAAAAATGTTCGTGTAACAATTACTGAAAAGGGCATCTTGCTTATGAGTATTCAAATGAACTCACCTCATATTCTTGACCTTTTCATCATTAATTCTGAGAGCCAAGCTGCTTGCCACTAGACCATTTTTAGAGGAATGACTCATTTTTATGATTCATTTTTCTGTTAATTCGATAAACATTTTCTTGTGTAATCTGTACTAGCATATCTACCAATGCTTTATGTATTTTAAAGCCTTACACTTCGCTTAAATATCTTGTTTCTTAGCTGTTTCCTTAGTGACTAAAAGTTGCAGTTGTTCCTTTCAATCTGTAACAGCTGCAAGAACAACTCTTCTTTCCAAACTAGCTCTCCTAAATTCCCGTTGTTAGAGTTGGTATCTATATTTAGCAGGTGGGATTAAATTGCAAAGGCTTCAAGCTAGGCAAAGCACACTGATCTGCCTTTTTACAGCTAGACCTGTGTGCTGCAAGGAGCTAAGGCCTGCAGTGTCCCCTTCCTTACCCAGGTTACTCACAAAATGGATTCCCAGCGGGAACTAGCAGAGGAACTGCGGCTTTACCAATCCACTCTTCTTCAGGATGGTCTAAAAGATCTCCTGGATGAGAAAAAATTCATCGACTGCACCCTCAAAGCAGGTGACAAAAGTCTTCCTTGCCACAGATTGATTTTGTCAGCTTGTAGTCCTTACTTCCGTGAGTATTTTTTATCTGAAATTGATGAAGCGAAAAAAAAGGAAGTGGTCCTGGATAACGTGGACCCTGCTGTACTTGATTTGATCATCAAATACCTGTACTCTGCCAGCATTGATCTCAATGACGGGAATGTGCAAGACATTTTCGCATTGGCCAGCCGCTTTCAGATTCCCTCAGTGTTTACGGTCTGCGTTTCTTATCTGCAGAAAAGACTTGCTCCTGGCAACTGTCTAGCCATCCTAAGATTAGGACTTCTTCTTGACTGCCCAAGACTAGCCATTTCTGCCCGTGAGTTTGTGTCTGATCGCTTTCTACAGATTTGTAAGGAAGAGGACTTTATGCAACTGTCTCCACAGGAACTGATCTCGGTCATTTCAAATGACAGTCTAAATGTAGAAAAGGAAGAAGCAGTATTTGAGGCAGTGATGAAATGGGTGCGAACAGACAAAGAAAACAGGGTTAAAAACCTTAGCGAAGTGTTTGATTGTATCCGTTTTCGCCTTATGACAGAAAAATATTTTAAAGATCATGTTGAGAAAGATGATATAATTAAAAGCAGCCCAGAACTTCAGAAAAAAGTTAAAGTGTTAAAAGATGCTTTTGCAGGCAAACTTCCTGAACCTAGCAAAAATGCAGAGAAGACTGGGGCTGGTGAGGTGAATGGGGATGTTGGTGATGAAGACTTACTTCCTGGTTACCTAAATGACATTCCCAGGCATGGAATGTTTGTCAAAGACCTCATCCTCTTGGTTAATGACACAGCCGCAGTGGCTTATGATCCCACAGAAAATGAATGCTACCTTACCGCTCTAGCCGAGCAAATTCCCAGAAATCATTCCAGCATTGTCACCCAACAAAATCAAATCTATGTGGTAGGAGGACTGTATGTGGATGAAGAAAATAAGGATCAACCGCTCCAGTCATACTTCTTCCAGGTAAGAAAGACTGTTTTTATGTAAGTAGAGGCATAAAGGGGGAAGCTGTTACTCACCATCCAGTTAGCTAGTGAATTATTCGGGCTACTTGCATCATTCTAATGTCTATTCTAGTTCTTCGCACTTTCACAGAGTATTTCATTTGACTGCTTGTTAGTATTTAATAAAATGTTTGCTGAAGAATGAGGTATTAATTTTAATTCATAACACAAGATTGTCTTTATAGCCTTTTACCCAAAAAGTCATGTTTATAGTCGATGGTGACTGTAATCCTTCAAAGTCGTATTTTAGGAAAAAATAAATTTAATCTTATACATTTTTACCTGAAAAAAATAGATCGCCTTTCCCTAAATCAAAGCACTAACATATTTCAAAGAAGTAATAATTGGTCAGATTTTCTACCTTCTTCCAAGTTCCCATAAACTGATTTAAAGTACCTAAAGGTAGTATTTCATCTTTTATTTATGGTTATTGCCTAAAACATAATTTTGTTGTAAACTATGTAGAAGGTTTATACATATTCTACGCACTTGAGATTATCTTCTAGGAAAAAAAATATTAATATAGGTGTCACTAGTTTGGGTTAATTTTATTTAGAAGTTTTCATTATATTACCCACATTTGTATTGGAATTGTATTGTACTTAGACATTACTACAAATTAACTGTTGTGTAACCAAACATTTCCAAGAACACAGATCCTTTTAAATGATAGTCTTTGTAGTTTTTCTGAAGAGAATTTGTCTTTATATTATCAACACATTGTATTTATCAGTTTCTGAAGGAATCCATGGCTTAACCTTTATTATCAATAATGCCAATACCGGGGCCAGCAGGTGGTGTGGTGGTTAAGGGTGCTGGACTCTCACATGGCTGACTGTGGTTCGAGTCGTGGACCCAGTGGCTTGCTCTCTCTCTCTCTCTCACTCTGTCCCTCTCTGATCAAAATAAATAAATAAATAAATAAAGTTAAATAAAATAATAATATATTTTTAAAAAATAATGCCAATACCATTACTCTAGCTTACAACTAGCTCTGAAGAGTTTGTTTAGGTCATGGCTAATCACAGCCTGGGGCCTAGAGTCACTTGAGTTGGCAAGGCCAAGGATAAGCAAGTGTAGAATGCCATTCCACAGTCCCAGTGTGATCTCCAGTGTGTGACATACTGTGCATTCACAAAGTAGTACCTTTAATCAGCTTTTCCTGATCTTGAAAAATGTGGTAGTACTAGTACATGTTAATCATGTGTTTAGTTTTCAAAGTTTCAGTGAAGAATGTTATTATAAGTATTTGGATATGGGCCAGAACATTTTCTAAGCCCTAGTTTTGAATTCAGATAAACATCGGAAAGGACAAATTCAATGAAAACAGCTATAAACATATGCAAGAAATAAAACAGATAATATACAAATGGCAAGTAGGCACACCTACCTAGAAATCATAGGCCTAAGAAATAGTTACAGCCATAGGATAATTCCCCCAAATTCAAGGCTTTATTTTTTATTCTGTTTCTTTAATTTATTGAGTATATCCACTTTTGAGTGTTCAATTTAATCTTTACTCTCTCCTGTCCCATTAGTATCCTTACTTTACTGACATGGCTTCTCCTTTCTAACTCAAGAAACCTGCTTGTGTTCTTCGTAGCTACAAAAACGTTACATACAGTTGGAAGGTCAACTCTGTCACTATTACTTGCCACTTTAAAAAAGAGACAAATAGGGAACCAGCAGTTAGCGTAATGGCTATGTCGCTGGATTCCCACATAGTTGACCGCAGTTCGCATCCTGGACCCGGTGGCTTAGAACTCACGTCGGGCGCGTGTGCGTGTGTGCCCAAGATCCCAAGAGGAGAATGGAGGAGAAGGGATTGTGGCGTGACCATCCCCCCCGGGGGGTGCTTTCTCGCTTTCTGTCTCTATGTCTCTCTCTGTCTGTCTGGCGAGTGCATGCGCCCTATAGCAAAAACCTCTCAAAAAACAAAAAAAAAAAAAGAGACAAATAGTAGAACAAGAGGCCACAATAAAAACATCTGACCATAAAAGAGCATTGTGACTCACGAGAAAATATTTGAGAATTACAGGTTTTGTATTTTTGAGCTTGATCACATCTATCTAAAAGTGTATTCATTTATGGGTGATTTGACCTGATTGCATACTGTAAATGGATTATGAGGGCTTTTTATCTTGGTAAGAGCAGTCCCCTTACATACCATAGAATTAATGTAATAGATTAATCAAAGTTTTGAGTAATATCAGGTCTTAAAGTAATCTGGGTCTAACCCCATAACTGTAACAATAAGGAAAGTGGAACCCAGAGAAGTTAAATAGCTCAATAGCTCCTCTGTGAAGGAGTTTGGCAGATGGTCTGCTGTTCCGTCTGCTATAGAAAGTGACCCATGCCCCATAATGGGTGATCTGCGAAGGTAGACAGCACTGTACGATGTGGGAAGTAAGCCTACAGTCGGGATTATGATGGCTGCTGTTTTGTTTTGTTTTGTTTTAAATTTTTGGTATAGGGCACATGTGCTTGCCAGAGAGAGACAGAGAAAGAGGAAAAATGAGAACTCACCCACTCCCCCACCCCCAGGGAGAATGGCCATACTACAATTCCTTCTCCATTCCTCTCAAGATTTTGGGCATGCACACATACCCACCCTGTGTCATTTTTCTAAAACAAAATACAGGTTTAGTAGCTTGGCTTTGAATACCACTTAAAAGCTCTGTTAGTATGAGAAAACTGTTTAATCTGTTTCTCAGTTTCCTTATCTGTAAAGTGGAAATAATCAAAGTGCCTTATTTTGGAGGACTAAATGAAATGACCTATGTAAGACATTTAGTATGAAAGTTGTCTCAGAATCATAATTCCATAAATATTACTTCTACAATTACATGCCACCTTCTTGTTGATGATTATTTTTTTCAAAAATGAGAACACTGGAGGTCACAGTCTAGATACTGAAATTAGTGAATGCATATGTAGAGATTAAAGCCCTCCTCCCATGTAGTCTCAGTGCTTTGTTTGACTGAGAGTACTAGGCCAGATATAGATAGGCTTCCACAGACACCTCTTTCTCTACCACAGCTTCTTGTATCTACATCTATTCTTGGTGCCCAGTGAATCTTAGTTTAATTCATTTTTCCCCTGTAACCTAAACGTGGCACAGGAGAGAACACATCTGAGACCACACTCCCACAAAGTTTTCTTGTGCCTCGGTGTCCTAAAATGCAGCAGAAAAAAAATCTTAAAACTACCAATCATAAGTATTGAAATGGATGCCAGCATGCCATAATCGTCTGCCCCAGAGCATGGTTACTAGGAGTGCCATCTTAGGCTTGCAGAAATGGCAATAGCAAAAATGAGCAAAGTTGACACTTAATATAAATGAAAAAGAGAAGATTTCCTATGACTACCAACAAGAGACTAGGAAGTTCACATTAACACCTTCCTGTATCAGAAATAATAAAGCAAAACATAAAAGACCTGAACAGTTTAAAAAGAAAGAGAAAAAGATACTGCCTAACTTCCCAGTTGATTGTGGGCTGAGCGACAAGTCCAGCTGTCGTGAGTGCAGGCTTGGGAGCATGTTAAATATAGTGTGCAGTGGTGTGTGCAGTGGTAATTCACATACTATGATAACCTGTCTTTCCCCAGTACTAAAAAGCATTACTCTAATACTAAATACTATTATATCCTAATACTGAATACTATTATACCCGAATACTAAATACTATTATACCCGAATACTAAAAAGTATTAGGATTCATCCTTTTAAAGCTGAGCAAGGCAGGCCAACAGTTAGCAAGGTGGTTAAGGTGCTGGATTCTCACACATCTGACTGTGGTTCAAGTCCCAGACCACTGGGAAAGTGACTTTCTTACTTTCCCTCTTTCTTTCTTTCTTTCTTTCTTTCTTTCTTTCTTTCTATCTCTGTCTCTTTCTGCTGAGCACACGCACTCTATAACAATTGTTTTTTAAAGTTGAACAAGGAAACATGGGAAGAAAATTTGAAAAGAAACCTCGCAATTCGAACTAGCCTCTAGTTATTATATTTTATTCTTTCTTAAAGTCTTGGAGATTTTGGTATTTTTATCTATTTTGGTACATCAAATAGATTTCCTCATTCTTGGTAATTCTGAGCTAAAATAGTATACTTTGGGATTGTGGTTTTATTTTACTTGTGAGATTTTTTTTTACTATCTCAATTCTAAACAACACATAAAGTAGAGCATATTTTTGGCACACCTATAACTTTTTTCTGACAAGCTCCACAATTCCTCATGTGTATTTTTTTTTCCAGCTTGATAACGTAGCATCTGAGTGGGTTGGACTCCCACCTCTGCCTTCGGCCAGGTGTCTCTTCGGTCTGGGAGAGGTAGATGACAAAATCTATGTAGTTGCAGGCAAAGACCTTCAAACAGAGGCTTCGCTGGATTCAGTATTGTGCTATGATCCCGTGTAAGTTGGCACAACATTCCGATTCCCTCGGCAGTGAAATATATTCATATGTTCAGAACCTAGAATTTACTAAAAGCACATAAATTCTATTACCATCTAATTTCAGGGCTGCAAAATGGAATGAAGTAAAAAAACTTCCTATTAAAGTCTATGGCCATAATGTGATTTCACATAAAGGGATGATATATTGTCTAGGAGGAAAGACAGATGACAAGTAAGTACTCTGAAGTCTCCTTTTGATTTATATCTAAGTGTATTGTTATTACAAGGGTTTCTTCTTCTTTTCATTTGAATCTACATACTGAAATGGGACTTGGTTCTCATTCATAATGTTTTGGAGGTAAAATTTCAAAATAAAATTTCTAAAAGTTATTGGAGGGTTGGGGACCAGCAGATGGCGTAATGGTTATGTTGCTGGATTCCCACATAGTCAAGCATGCCAGGTGCATGTGCGTGCTCACTCAAAATCCTGAGAGGAGATGAAGGAGAAGGGACTACAGCATAGCCATCCCCCAGGGGGCTGATTTCTTGCTTTGTCTCTGTCTCTCTCCTGTGAGTGCATGTGCCCTATAGCAAAAATCTCTCTCAAAAAAAAAAAGAAGTTGTTACTGGAGATATTGTGATTTCTGAGGGAAAATATAAAATTCAAGTTACTAAAGTAAATATGTAGATATCCAGCATACTACCACGACCTCAATCATAAGCATTCTCAGAGTGGAAAAGCAGTGTCTGGAGTATAATCAAGCCTTATGTTTAGCTGGTTTATAATTGTATTTTGCTACATCAAAACCCAAATTGGGCTTTCTTGTTAATTTAGCCATAAGTAGATAAAAATATAAATGTATTCTTTAATGTAGAATTTAAAATACATCTACTTAAACCATAGTGCTTATAAATATTATAGATTTATGCTTTAAATTTATGAGAGAATTTAGATAGGTCAGTTCAAAACTGAAAACCATGATGATTGAAAAAAGGGCAACTATTTCTTAAGCAAGGTTTCATTTATTACTTCCTGACAAAAGTGGTATTCAAAATATGTTATAACTATTCAAAAACAGAACTAATCAACTAGAACAGATACTCCCTGGTCTTCCCATAGGTGCCAATTGTTTTTGAGGAAGCTAGTATGAAGTTGCACATATAAACCTAATTTAATTTCTGGGTATTTGTCAAGGGATGGGTCATTAGGAAAGAGATTTTACAAACTCACACAGAGAAGTGACTTCAGAGTGCTCGCGAAGTCAGCTAGTGTAGCTAGTAATCTGACTGATAAAATGAGCATTTTCAGTTGAGATCATGAGAACTACTCTCCTGTCCTAAGTTGATTGTTATCATTTGCTCAGACTGTTTAGAAGAGATGTCCAATTCTGGAAGGGGAGCCAAGTTAAAAATTGTAAGGACAAGTCAGGAAAGGAGAGTAAAATACAGAAATATATCAAAAGCAAATAACTAAATTCTGGGATTAATCATTAATCATTAATGGTTAGTATTTAGTTAAAGTGATAACTATAACAGAGATTTTAAAAAGGACTGTTTTATATAATGTATTCCTATTCAAAGATACATAGTCTGAAGTTTTGATATCCACTTAATTCCAGATGTGCCCATCAAATGACTATTTAAAGGAAGATAAATTATAAACATATTCAGTGCCAAATTGTATTTGCCGCATTTTCCCTGAGTAAATGGAATGGATCTCTAAGCAGTGTTGTGACTGTGGAAACACAGGAACCCTGCCAAATGATTGAAATTGTTTCCTTCAAGCAGCATTAGGACTAGGAAATTGATATGTCAGTAAGAAGCATACAGGTCTTGTCAGTAAGAATATATTAATCTTGAGAATATGATTAACCAAGACAACATTGCTTGACAAATGTCAAAGTTAAGAACTTTGAAATGAGTCATTATCTAAAAGTGAGTACTGGAGTGTACTAGTTATGACTACAGGATTTGTGTCATATTCATTTTTTATTTTTAGAGAGATTTTTGTTATAGGGTGCATGCACTTGGCAGAGACACAAAGAGAGACAGAGAGACAGAAAGTGAGAAATCATCCCTTAGGGGTATGGTCATGCTGCAATCACCTCTCAGGATTTGGGGCACGCATGCGCATGTAACCAGTGAGAGTTTTAAACCACCAAGTCTGGGACTCAAACCGCAATCAACTATGTGGGAGTCCAACAACATAACCATTACGCCATCTGCTGGTCCCATATCATGTCCTTAATAAGTTTTCAAGCTGGGGTCAGCAGGTTGTATGGTGGTTAAGGTGCTGGACTCCTACATGGATGACTGTAGTTTGAGTCCTGGACCTAGTGGCTTGAAAATCATAGTGGGCACATGGCATGTGTGTGCCCAAAATCCTGAGAAGAAAATGGAAGAGAAGGGATTGTAGCATGGCTATCACCCCTGGGGTGGGGGGTGATTTCTTACTTTCCCGCTCACTGTCTTTGTTTGTCTCTGGTGAGCGCACACACCCAATGGCAAAAACCTACAAAATAAAATAAAGTTAGACATGAAAGGAAGTACTTCTACTCCAGATATGTGATCTTTTCTAAGATTAAGGAAAAAGCTTTCCTCACAAAGAGTAGGGGTGGTTTTTTTTTGGCATTACAATACGTGTCTGGTTAATCAGCTATGATTTGTGGGGTCAGCCGATGGTTTGGTGGTTGGAGCAGCTAGATCTCACAACGCTGACTGTGCCGTTCAAGTCCCAGACATGGCAACTTGGGAAGCACAGCAAACACATTTGTGTGCATGCCCAGAATCCCAAGAAGAGATGGTAGAGAAGGGATTATGATGTGGTCATTACCACAGGAGGTGATTTAATTAAAAAAAAAAAAAAAGAATCAACTATTATTTGGAATTCTGACCTTCTATCCACTAAGTTATGAATAACTTTAGGAACCATAGGAACATACTAGGAGTACTAGTTCAGATGAGTCCAGGATTTTCTGGTTGCATTTAGTGTACAAAACTGTTTATTATTCACTACATGACTAGTTGTCTAATCTATAGTCCCGGATTTTTAAAGTTATTTATTTAATTAAATTATTATTGTTATTGCCATAGGGTGGACGCCACCATGCCCAAATTTATTATTATTATTAATTTGCTATCAGGCACATGCATCCACCATAGACAGACAGACAGAGCTCTAGAGAAAGAAAGAGAAAGTGAGAAGGCAAGCTGCCAGGTCTGGGACTTGAACTATGATAAGCCATGTGAGACTCCAGTGCCTTAACCACCATGTTGGCCCCAGTCCTAGATTTCTTAAAATGCATTGGTATATTGGGAGCCAGCAGTTAGCGTAATGGCTATGTCGCTGGACTCCCACGTAGTCAACCGCGGTTGTTTCCCGGACCCGGTGGCTTAAAACTCATACCAGGCGTGTCTGCGTGCGTGCCCAAGATCCCGAGAGGAGAATGGAGGAGAAGGGATTGCGGCATGACCATCTCCCCTGGGGGGTGATTTCTCGCTTTCTGTCTCTATGTCTCTCTCTCTGTCTGTCTGGCGAGCCCACGCGCCCTATAGCGAAAACCTCTCAAAAAAAAAAAAAAAGCATTGGTATATTAATGATAGTGTGAAATTAAATGAGCTATCACATTAAATTTAAACTGGGCATATTTATACCTAGTTAACTGATTAATTCCTAGGATATTCAGGTAATAAACTTAGTTTTTTGTTACTGAAGCATAATAAAAGGTTTACTTTTTTTAATTCAAATAAAAGTAAGCCTTTCATTGAATCTCTTAGCAGGATTAAAATTTACTATGCCTTGGCTTCTAAACAGTTGTCTAGAAGTAAAGGTACCTACCCTACCTTCCAGTAGTATAATTAAGTTATAAAATAGTTTTGGTCCCCACATTTGGAATTGCCCTTTGCCTAGTGGCATATGTTCAATTTAAGACTACCTGGAGGGGACCAGCAGATGACATAATGGTTCCATCGCTGGACTACCATGTAGTCAACTGCAGTTCAAGTCCTGAACCCAGTGGCCTGAAACTCATGCTGGGCGCCTGGATGTGCATGCCCAAGACCAAAAGAGGAGAATGGAGGAGAAGGGATTGTAGCATGACCATCCTCCCAAGGGGATGATTTCTTGCTTTCTGTCTGTCCCTGGTGAACACATGTGCCCTAAACCTCTCTTTAAAAAAAAAAAAAGGAATACCTAGAGATTTTTCTGATTCTCTATTATACCTTGTATATAAGAAGCAAAGTCAAATTATAAGTGAAGTTGCTTTTTTTTTTTAAAAAAAAAAAGGTTCTAAAAGAAACATTTATTGACTTTTTATGTTTGCAGAAAGTGTACAAACAGGGTGTTTATCTTCAACCCCAAAAAAGGAGACTGGAAAGATCTGGCTCCAATGAAAACTCCACGTTCCATGTTTGGAATAGCAATCCATAAAGGCAAAATTGTGATCGCAGGAGGTGTCACTGAAGATGGTCTTTCCGCATCTGTTGAAGCTTTTGACCTCACAACCAATAAGTGAGTTGCTTTATGTTACCACAGTGTATAAATCACTGTACATTTTAATTGTTCACATTAAAGATTAAGCCTTCTAATCCAGGAGGTGGAGCAACAGTGTTGCAGCTGCACCCAGTTGGGAAATTTCCTGAGAATTGTGTCCTAGGGTTTCTGTGAGCATGCCAGACATGTGTGTGTACTCATGATCCAGGCCAGCTGAGACTGAGGGTGGATCACAGTGTGGTGACACTGTTAGGAGGACCTGACTCTGTCTCTCTGTGTCTGTCATTCTCAGGGAAGAAACTAAAAACATAAATAAATAAATAAATAAATAAATAAATAAAAATTAAACTTTCCAATCAGATTCTAAGGAGAGGAAAACAAAGATGCCTTGATTAGAGAGGAAATATTTTCATCTGAGTTTTTTTTGTTGTTGTTACTGGACATAAAATTAATATTTCTTTTTTTGGAGAGGTTTTTGCTATAGGATGTGTGTGCTTGCCACGAAGACAGAGTGAGACAGAGAGACAGAAAGAGAGAAATCACCCCCCGGGGGGAATGGCCACGCTACAATCCCTTCTCCTCCATTCTCCTCTCGGGATCTTGGGCACGCTCACACACGCGCCCGGCCTGAGTTTAAGCCACTGGGTCCAGGACTCGAACCGCAGTTGACTACATGGGAGTCCAGCAACATAGCCATTACGCTAACTAAAACTAATATTTTGATGCATTATATGTATTTGTAATTTGGAACATACAGCCTTAAGTTAATGTTTGCATGCTCTAAGATTTTCTGTATTTGTTATTAACTTTATGAATTTAGTCATGCAAAAGAATACTTTAAAATTATTATATATATTTAAATGGATATACATGTCTATAAGAGTTAATTGATTCAAAATATGTCAGTTTTTTAAGGCTGAAAAGATCTTCACATGTTTTTATTTTTCTTTGTATAATCACTTCATTTGTTAATGACTAATATTTGTAAAGTATGAATGTTTCAGAAGTTTAATTCTTTTACACATTTTGTGATTTTCTTCTTTCCTTTTATTTCCAGAGGGAACATGCACTCACCTTGGAAAGGGAGAGGGAGAGAGCACCCCTCAATGGGGCATGGTCATGCCACAATCCGTTCTCCATTTCTCTGTTATGTCAGAATTCTGGGCACACAGCACATGCCTGATGCCTGGCATGTATTTCAAGCTGCCAGGGCCGGGACTCAAACTGTAGTCAGCCATGTAAGATCTGACTCCCTTAATCACTAGGCTATAGGGCCAGTCTTCTAATTTTCTTACATTTTCATCTTTAACCTTTTATTGACTTAATTAATATGAAAAGATATTTGACAGATATTCGGTATATAAAACTAGTCTTAAAAGTTTTTGAGCTCACCCATCTAAATGAGTATATACTTTTTATACTCCTACATTAGCAATGAAGAAAAACTTAGAGTACTGTTAATTCCTTTCTTAGAGACCATATATGCTTGATTACAAAACAGACTTCATATCTGAACATCAAAAAGAACTTTTATGGAACAAGATTTAATTGATCTTTAAAAATAATGCTTTTGAAGACTATGTAATATGAATAAATACTCATAAGTTAAAGAAGTAACACAAAACTGTAAATAGTCTATGTTCTTAGTTTAATTCATGGGACCAGCAGTTAAATTAATGGCTGTGTTGCTCAACTTCCAGGTAGCCAACTGCGGTTTGAGTCCCGGATCCAGTGGCTTAAACTCACACTGGGCGCATGTGTGTGTATGCCCTGAGAGGAGAAGGGATTGCAGTGTGACCAACCTCCCTGGGGGGTGATTTCTCGCTTCCTGTCTCTCTGTCTCTCTCTGTCTTTCTGGCGAGCTTTTTTTTGTGGATCACAGTGTGGTGACACTGTTAGGAGGACCTGACTCTGTCTCTCTGTGTCTGTCATTCTCAGGGAAGAAACTAAAAACATAAATAAATAAATAAATAAATAAATAAATAAAAATTAAACTTTCCAATCAGATTCTAAGGAGAGGAAAACAAAGATGCCTTGATTAGAGAGGAAATATTTTCATCTGAGTTTTTTTTGTTGTTGTTACTGGACATAAAATTAATATTTCTTTTTTTGGAGAGGTTTTTGCTATAGGATGTGTGTGCTTGCCACGAAGACAGAGTGAGACAGAGAGACAGAAAGAGAGAAATCACCCCCCGGGGGGAATGGCCACGCTACAATCCCTTCTCCTCCATTCTCCTCTCGGGATCTTGGGCACGCTCACACACGCGCCCGGCCTGAGTTTAAGCCACTGGGTCCAGGACTCGAACCGCAGTTGACTACATGGGAGTCCAGCAACATAGCCATTACGCTAACTAAAACTAATATTTTGATGCATTATATGTATTTGTAATTTGGAACATACAGCCTTAAGTTAATGTTTGCATGCTCTAAGATTTTCTGTATTTGTTATTAACTTTATGAATTTAGTCATGCAAAAGAATACTTTAAAATTATTATATATATTTAAATGGATATACATGTCTATAAGAGTTAATTGATTCAAAATATGTCAGTTTTTTAAGGCTGAAAAGATCTTCACATGTTTTTATTTTTCTTTGTATAATCACTTCATTTGTTAATGACTAATATTTGTAAAGTATGAATGTTTCAGAAGTTTAATTCTTTTACACATTTTGTGATTTTCTTCTTTCCTTTTATTTCCAGAGGGAACATGCACTCACCTTGGAAAGGGAGAGGGAGAGAGCACCCCTCAATGGGGCATGGTCATGCCACAATCCGTTCTCCATTTCTCTGTTATGTCAGAATTCTGGGCACACAGCACATGCCTGATGCCTGGCATGTATTTCAAGCTGCCAGGGCCGGGACTCAAACTGTAGTCAGCCATGTAAGATCTGACTCCCTTAATCACTAGGCTATAGGGCCAGTCTTCTAATTTTCTTACATTTTCATCTTTAACCTTTTATTGACTTAATTAATATGAAAAGATATTTGACAGATATTCGGTATATAAAACTAGTCTTAAAAGTTTTTGAGCTCACCCATCTAAATGAGTATATACTTTTTATACTCCTACATTAGCAATGAAGAAAAACTTAGAGTACTGTTAATTCCTTTCTTAGAGACCATATATGCTTGATTACAAAACAGACTTCATATCTGAACATCAAAAAGAACTTTTATGGAACAAGATTTAATTGATCTTTAAAAATAATGCTTTTGAAGACTATGTAATATGAATAAATACTCATAAGTTAAAGAAGTAACACAAAACTGTAAATAGTCTATGTTCTTAGTTTAATTCATGGGACCAGCAGTTAAATTAATGGCTGTGTTGCTCAACTTCCAGGTAGCCAACTGCGGTTTGAGTCCCGGATCCAGTGGCTTAAACTCACACTGGGCGCATGTGTGTGTATGCCCTGAGAGGAGAAGGGATTGCAGTGTGACCAACCTCCCTGGGGGGTGATTTCTCGCTTCCTGTCTCTCTGTCTCTCTCTGTCTTTCTGGCGAGCGCACACGCCCTATAGCAAAAACCTCTCCAGAAAAAAAAAAAGTTTAATTTATAAGTATGGATGCTTTTATTTATATGCTTTTTTGTGTTTGTTTTTTAAAGGTTTTTGTCTTAGGGCACATGCGCTCACCAGAGAATGTGCGAGGCAGACACAGTGAGAGGGAAAGTGAGAAATCACCCCCAAGGGAAATCACCCCCATATATTCTACAATGTACTTGTATCATCTTCATAGAAAAACGGGGCAGGCCCTGTTGCTTAATGGTTAAGGGAGTCAGATCCCACATTGCCTACTATGCAGTTCAAATCCTGGGCCTAGAGGGTTGAAAAATATGTTAGGCCCATGTGCATATGTGCCTAAAATCCTGACAGGATGGAGAAATGAAGAAAGAAGTGTGGCATGACCACATCCTATAGGGGGTTGCTTCTCTTTTTCTTCTACCTGTCTCTGATGAGCACACATGACCTCTTAATTTTTTTTAAGAGAGATTTTTACTATAGGGTATGTGCACTCACTGGAGAGACAGAGACAGACAGAGAGACAAGGAGAAATTATCCCCTAGGGGAGATGGCCACACCTCAATCCCTGCTCCTCCATCCTCCTCCTGGATTTTGGGCATGCACACACATTCATGAGTATCAAGCCTCTGGGTTTGAGATTCGAACCACAATCAGCCATGTGGGAATCCAGCTATGTAACCACTACGCCATCTGCTTGTCCGACCCTGGTAAATTTTTCAAAGTAATAATTTTTAAAAGCAGTAATAATATATACATACTATAAGGTCCACTTTAATCCCAGAATAATGGAACAGAGACCTACCAAATGACTCATTTCAGTCTAGATTCTTGATACTTTTTAAAATATAGTTTCTTTTCTTTTTTTATCATTTATTTATTTATTTATCTATTTTTACATTTTCCCACATTTACTTTACATATCAAAAAATTTTTGCTCATATTCCATAGTTCTTGATAGTTAAAAAACAACTTCCAAAATTAAAAAAAACTGAATTTTAAAGATATTGTTCAAAATATTTGTTATAACTTTGTTTGTGACTCTATAACAACAGAGACAGTATAGTTTTAAATATTTTTGAGAAACATTTACATGTCAGCTACTCAAACTGTTGAAAAGCAAACACTCAGCACACTAGTCACACATAAACCTTCTCAATTCAGCCCTTCCTACCAAGTATTCTGTGATATACCATCTAGTAGCAAAGATCAGTCCCTTTTTCTTCTTCAAAGTCTTCCTCAAGATAATCCTCTGGTTGTGGTTGCTCTTTTATAATCTTTACTGATTACAATGCTGAGCTGGAAAAGTCCAGGTTATTTTATGGTAGGAATACTTTCATATGGCTTCTCTAATCCTCTGTACCAGGCAGAACTATTTAGGGTGCCAGGCCATCTTTGCAAGAGCTTCTGTTGGTTTACTTCAGATCTATCTTAGTTCCATAGTTTTCTGGTTAATCTTCAGGTTAGATTCTTGATACTTTCAACTAACTTGATTGATTTTATCTTTAGTTGTTCTATTTCAAATAGCCGTTAACATTTAAAAATCACTGGCTCCATGGCCTTGCGATTAAGGCAGCCAGATCCCACATGATCAACAGCATTTCATATCTTAACCCCAGTAGCTTAAAGAACACATGGGGTGTGTGTGCATGTATGGCCAAAATCCCAGCAGTAGGGAGAAATGGAAAAGGGATTGTGGGATGACAACACACCATTAGGAGTGCTTTATCCCTCTCCCTCTTCCTTCTGACAACTAAAACAAGAGAAAGAAAAAAAGCTCCCTTGAATCCTTTATAAAAATAAAGTGTAAATCATTTAAAAGAAAAATTTCACCCTTTATTACTACACTATTTATCCCATGCCTTTATTGCCAAGGATAAAGATTTGGAGATTTCTTGAGAAAAACTGGAGATCAGTGTTTTTAAGAATTTGGATTACAGACCAGCAGTTGGCATAATGGCTATGTCGCTGGACTCCCATGTAGTCGACCATGGTTTGAGTTTGGGACCCGGTGGCTTAACCTCACACCAGGCATGTGTGCGTGCGTGCCCAAGATCCCGAGAGGAGACTTGAGGACAGGGGACTGCAGCGTGACCATCCCCCCCGGGGGGTGATTTCTTGCTTTCTGTCTCTTTGTCTCTCTTTGTCTTTCTGGCGAGCGTATACATCCTACAGCAAAAACCTCTCCAAAAAAAAGAAAGAATTTGGATTAATACTCAAATGAAACAGCACAGCAGGATAGGGGTCTCAGAGCCCTTTAAGTATGCCACAGAACCCCCACTCTTTAGTGCACAGTTCAGTAACCAGAGGTGCTGATGAAGTAACTGCTGGACTGTCATATTAAGGGCATAATATCTAATGTGGTTATATCTTTCAAATGGAGGAATTTTTTCCTTTTTTTTTTAGCAAATGTTTTATCTAACTTTATTCATTGTCATTATTTTATTTTATTTGAAGTTGACCAGAAAGAGAGAGAGAAGGAAAGTGAGAAAGCAAGCTGCCAGGTCCAGGTCTCAAACTGCAGTCAGTCATGTGGGACTCCAGATGCCTTAACCACTATGCCACCGGCTGGCCCCCAAACTAAGGAATTTTTAATTTTCCAGTTTCAAAGTTGATTTTCTATTGGGTCATCAGAAAAGTCATGAAGTATTTTCTATGTATTTCTGTGTAAAATGTGTCATGACTTTTCCAACAACCCAATACTTTTGGATACCTACACTACTTGAATTTTTAAATTATAATTTTCTGAAACTGTTCAGTAAATACATTTGGCAGTTATTAAGTTTTACATCGTCTGTATTTTCAATACCTAGATGGGAAGTAATGACCGAATTTCCCCAAGAAAGAAGCTCCATCAGTTTGGTCAGCCTGGCTGGATCCCTGTATGCCATTGGTGGCTTTGCTATGATTCAACTGGAATCCAAAGAGTTTGCACCTACTGAAGTCAATGACATATGGAAGTAAGTTTTCTTCATTCCACTTTTCAGAACCAAATATTAAATCAGATAACTGATGAGTGATAAAAAAATTATAGTAAATAATATACTAGACTTTCTAACACATAAGCTGCTACTATGTAGTAGACTAAACCCTTTAAACCTAATTACTTTTGCACATGCCACTTACTACTGCTTCTAATGGGAGCTTGGAAAAGAACTCAATAAGTAAAATGAGAGTTGGACTGTAGATCCTTTAAACTCCATTCCAGTTCTGAGGTTATAAATGTTCCAGGCACCCAGTATAGCAAAGACCACTTACATTAACCAGAGAGTAGTTTGTTTCCTAAGAAAACAGAGTTCTGAGGAAATATTAACTTCTTGAATTTTACATGAATCCATTAACTCTATTTTGAATATAATCTAAATGGCCTTCCAATTATCTTAGAATTTAGTTAGCAACGACTTTTTTAAAAGCAAGAAAGTGACTTAGCAATCCATTTTACCTCCCAGATAGGTGCTGAGTTCTCCCAAATATGACACTTGTAGTTGTTTTTTAAACTGTTTTACAATCAGGCTTAAAAATATTAATGTCATGGGGGCCAACCCATGGTGTGGCTGGATCCCACGTGGTTGACTATGTGGTTTGAGTCTCAGAAACAGTGGTTTGAAAGACATGCTGGGCGTGTGTGTGTTGTGTGCCCCAAATCCCAAAAGGCAGGAAAAATGGAAGAGAAGAGGTAGCAGTGTAACCATCTTACATGTGGGTGGAGGGTGCTTTCTCATTTCCTTCTCGAATCTCTCTGGTGAATGCACATACACTCTGGCAAAACTTTAATTAATGAATTGTTTTTAAATTGGGGCACATTTTGCCATAGCTTTCTGCGGCCAGCAGATGACATAGTGGTTACATCACTGAACTCCCACATGGCTGACTGTGGTTCAAGTCCTCGATGCAGAGGCCTCAAACTCACGCCAGGCACGTGTGCATGCATGCTTGAAATCCTGAGAGGAGAATAAAGGAGAAAGGACTGCAGTGTGGCCATTCCCCCTGGGGGGGGGCGGTTTCTCATTTTCTCTTTCACTGTCTCTGTCTCTCCCTGGTGATATTTATCCTAAGGCAAAAACCTCTTTAAAAAAAAAGAAATGCAGAATCCCAAGCCCTATCCTAGAGCTATTGAATCAGAATCAGCATTTTAACATGATTCCCAGGTGATGGACCAGCTGGTGGCATGGTGGTTAAGGATTCCATGTGGCTGAATATGCAATTTCAGTACGGGACTCAGCGGCTTAAAAGGCCCATTGAGGTGGGCCTGCAGGTCTATGTCAAGCCACAGCTGCAGGTCTCTGTTCCTCAGGATGAGCTTTGTTAAAGCTGTCAAGAGTAAGGCCTACTTAAGAAATATTAAGTGAAATTCAGAAGACAATGAGAGGGTAAAAACTGATTACTATGCTCAGAAATACTTGGTGATCCTGGATAAAAATAAGTTCAACACACCCAAATATAGGATGATAGTTCGTGTTACTAACAGAGATACCATTTGTTGGATTGCTTATGTACGTACAGAAGGGGGTATGATAGCCGTGCAGCATATGCACACGAACTACCAAAATATGGTATGAAGGTTGGCCTGACAAGTCATGCTGCAACATAGTGTACTGGCCTGCTGCTGGCCCGCAGGCTTCTCCAGAGGTTTGCCATGGAAAGATCTGTGACGGCCAAGTGGAAGTGACCAGAGATGAGTACAATGTAGAGAACATCATGGTCAACCTGGTGCCTTCACAAGCTATTTGGATGCAGGCCTTGCCAGAACGACCACGGGCAATAAAGTTTTGAGGACCCTGAGGGAATGGTGGATGGAGGCTTATCTATCCCTCATAGTACCAAACCATTCCCTGGTTATGATTGTGAAAGTAAAGAATTTAATGCAGAAGAACATAGGAAGCACATCATGGGCCAAAATGTCGCAGACTGCATGCATTACCTAATGGAAGATGATAAAGACACTGAAAAAACAACTCTCTCAATACGTAAAGAACAATGTAACTCCAGACATGATGGAGGAGATGTATAAGAAAGCTCACACAGCTATATGAGAGAACCCAGTATACGAAATGAAGCCCAAGAAAGAAGTTAAAAAGAAGAGGTGGAATTGTCCCAAAATGTCCCTTGTCCTGAGGAAAAATTAGGTGGCCCAGAAGAAGGTAGGATTCCTTAGAGCTAGAGCAGGTTGTGAGAGCTAGGCCAGACAATTTTCTATGAAGATATTACAGATAAAGACAATTAACAACAAAGCAGGGGGGAAAAAAAAAGAAGACCCATTGACCTGTGTGCAGGCATGCCCCAAATCCTGAGGCAACATGGAGAAGGGATTGCAGTGTAGCCATCCCCTCAGGAAGTGATTTCTCTCTCTTGCTCGCTCGCTTGCTCGCTCGCTCTCTCGCGCGCGGTTATGTACCTTATAGCAAAACTGTAAACCTTTAAAAAAAAAAAAAAGTCCATCGGGACCAGCAGTTAGCGTAATGGCTATGTCACTGGACTCCCACGTAGTCGACTGCAGTTCGAGTCCCGGACCCGGTGGCTTAAACCCACGCCGGGCGCATGTGCCTGCGTGCGTGCCCAAGATCCCAAGAGGAGAAGGGATTGCGGCATGGCCATCCCCCCTGGGGGGTGATTTCCTGCTTTCTGTCTCTCTGTCTCTCTCTGTCTGTCTGGCGAGCGCACGCACCCTATAGCAAAAACCTCTCAAAAAAAAAAAAAAGTCCATTCTTAAATCATTCTATTATTTAGCATTGAGCAAGCTGCAAGTAAAAATGTAATTGCCAAGAAGCAAACGTTTTTAAGCCTCCTTTAACGTCAACCACCTATATAGCTTAAATGTGCTCACCTTTTCTTTAGATCATTGAGAGCAGGTGTATTTGGGAGTTTCTCACACAGAGAGAAGAGCATTCCAGGCACCAGGCAGAGATATCTTAGGCTCACATGTTTCAAAGAAATTCAAGTTGTCTGCATCTCTGAAATCCATAATTAAGGTTACAAAGACCAGTTCTTACCTGAAGTCAAGTGCACAGTCTAAGAGTAGTCCTCAAACAGAACAATAAAGGGCAAGAGCAGTTTTTTTGTTTTTTTGTTTTAAGAGGTTTTTGCTATAGGGCGCATGTGCTCGCCAGACAGAGACAGAAAGCAAGAAATCACCCCCCAGGGGGGATGGCCACTCCACAATCCCTTCTCCTCCATTCTCCACTCGGGATCTTGGGCATGCACGCACATGTGCCTGGCGTGAGGTTTAAGCCACCGGGTCCGGGACACGAACCATGGTCAACTACATGGGAGTCCAGCAACATAGCCATTACACTAAGTGCTGGTCCCCAAGAGCAGTTTTTTGTTTTGTTTTGTTTTGTTTTGTTTTGGAGAGATTTTCACTGTAGGGCGCATGCGCCAGACACACAGAGACAGAAAGCAAGAAATCACCCCCCAGGAGGGATGGTCATGCCGCAATCCCTTCTCCTCCATTCTCCTCTCGGGATCTTGGGCATGCACGCACACGCGCCCGGCGTGAGTTTTAAGCCACTGGGTCCGGGACACGAATCGCGGTCGACTACGTGGGAGTCCAGCAACACAGCCATTACGCTAACTGCTGGTTCCCCCCAAGAGCAGTTTTTTATGGAGTGACTACTATCAGGTACCAGGAGTCATGCTAGGTACCAGCGAATGGAAACAGTTCACATAATAAGGCTACTAACAATCCCTGCTCTTCCCTAGTACTTATTCTTAAGGAAGAGCCCAGCCATCTTCACAGCTCAGAGGGGCATGAGTAACTGCTTAGTTGTCTGCTCCTCCTCTGGAGTCTGTGATTCTCAGATAAGGCTGAAATGCCTAGCCATCCCGATTAAATACTGTGGCAGTAATTCAGGCATGTGCTCATTCAGAGAATGTATATTTTGGAAGGAATTCAAATGTTCTTCTACCAGGGAGGAATACTTTATCAAGCAAGTGCATCGTCCTCTGGCTAAGAGCCAGTAGGGTTTTTTCAAAGATCCACACTTGGGAGCAGGCAGGTGGTTTGGTGGTGAAGGCACGGGACTCCCACATGACTGGCTGCAGTTCGAGTGGTAGACCTGGTGGCTTGCTTCTCTCTCTCTCTTTCTCCCCCTACCCCCATTGAGTGCATGTTTCCTATAGCAAAATTAAAAATCATAATAACTAAATATTTTTTAAATCTACGTTTGTATATTAAACAGAAGGAAATCTATAGACCTGTCTACTTAAAAGCTGCTTATTGATTATCTTCTTTTCTCCCATCAGATATGAAGATGATAAAAAAGAATGGGCTGGGATGCTCAAGGAAATACGTTATGCTTCTGGAGCTAGTTGCCTAGCAACACGTTTAAATCTCTTCAAGCTGTCTAAACTATAAGCAAGGTGACACAACATAATAGATTGGGTGATGGTTTATTTGGATAATAGGGCTTTACCTTATTCTGTTTTTTAAAAAGCCTGTACAGAGATTCATGTAGAAATTGTTCAGTAAATTATTGTCTAAGAAGTGGGCAGTGGACATCAAAACCTCAGTCACTGAGTTCCTGAGTGTAATGATCAGAGCGTAAGACCATTTTCTAAGAAACAAAGTATTCAGTTAAACAAAGTATTTCTTTTATTAGTGTGCCTCACTGAATGGATTGTAAAGGAATTCCTTAAATTTGAATGATTAATCCTTTCATTTCCCTTGTTAGGTTGTGTATGTTTACACTTGTTTTCTATTACAAATGAAATTGGAGAAAGAAGTATGTATATCTACATTTTTAAAAATTAATGATTAAAATATCAAAAATCTTTCCTCATGCCTAGATATGATGGGAATCTGTGCATTATATTAAAATTTCATGTCATAAGAAGACTTCAGAAATGCTGTATAAGGAGTATAATAATTGGACCTTATCTTAAAGTGGAAAAATGTCTAAGTAAAAGTAGTCAAATTCAAATGGTCTTTTTTCTCCATTCTTTTTGCGACACTGGCATATCATTTTGCTTTTAAAATCTTTAAATTTCTAAATTTAAAGTCAGGAAATCACCATTGTCAAGTCACTAACTACGTACAGTATCTGTGGGAGGAGACCAGGGGAACACCTTCAGGAAATGCTGCTGCAAGCCGCGGGACAGAAGTTGGGGGCAGTGGGTGATATGGAGGGTGTGTTTTCGTTGGCTTAAATTGTTGCTATACTTTCCATGAAAGGACTACCTATTTGTTAAATTTCTTACAGCAAAAAAGGTAAGTGTATTACATCTTCAGGAATGTGAGGCCCTATGTTCACTGTTTCACTGTATATAATGGGTTGTCGGAAAAGTCATGACTCATTTTTCCATAGAAAATATGTCATGACTTTTCTGATGACCGAAAAGTAAGTTGACTCAGTCTGTCCATAATTATCACATTCAACTCTGCAGGTCATTAACTAACTATCATTACCTTAGCCACACACCAACTTATGGGTCTCACAGAGCGTTTATAGATGTTCATACACATGTTACTTACTGAGAAACCTGACCTGGAGGATTCCCTGGTTACATGTCAAGCAGTTTACATACAGAAAGAGAAGTGTCCGTGTAGCTTTATTTTCTCTTCCATAAATATGGAAATATATTCAACAAATATCAGTTTGAGTCTTTGAAATATTGGTTTGTCGGAAAAGTCATGACATATGTAAAAATGTATCATGATTTTCCAACAATCCAATAGAATCCCAATTACTTTTTTTTTTTTTTTAAGTTTTTGCCATACGGTATACACATACTCTCTCTGGAGAGAGAGAGAGGAAAAATGAGAAATCATCCCCCAGGGGATATAGCCACGCCACAATCCCTTCTCGTCCATTCTCTTCCTGGGACTCTGGACATGTACGCACACATGCCTGGCATGATTTTCAAGCCACCAGGTCTGAGACTTGAATTGCAGTCGGCTATGTGGGAGTCTAGCACCTTATCCACTATGCTACCTGCTGGTCCCCCAATTGCTTTTCTATACTGAAAAATACTGTTCTGAACTATACTGTGAGTATACAATCAATAAATTCCAACGGCAGGAAACACTACAGGTTCTTCAACAGAAAAGCTGTGAGAAGAGAAAAGGATGGAAGCGGACACTGATAAAGATAAAAGGGCAAGGGGAGGGGATTACGGTGTCCAGATATGATAAACTGTAAGTGCGTACATAAAAGCATGATAGAGGTCACGTTTGGGGAGAGAATGCTGATGTATGCAGACATGAAATTAAGTGGTAAAAATAATGCATTTTACAGGGCTTCTTTTGAGGATGATGAAAATGTTCTATAATTAGTGGTGATGGTTCCATAATGTACTAAAAACCGTTGAACTGTACACTTTCAAAGGGTAGATTTTTATGTGAATTATATCTCAATAAAATTTTTAACAATCCTGTTTACTTATAACAATCCTAGTTATTTAAATGGAAAAATCATCAAACAAAAACATATTATATATATAACATAAAGAAAACTCTGAGTCAGACAGCCTAGAGAAAGATGATACATAAGAAGTTAGATTGCTCATAACAGTAAGTAAAAGGTCATTTAATCAACATTTCCATGTACTTCAAGTATAGAGTAACTGGAATTTTTTATTATTATTGCTAGAGGGTATATGCACTCACCAGAGACAGTACACCCACCCCCAGGGGACATGGTCATGCTGCAATCCTTTTTTCCCCATTTCTCCCTTCCATCAGGACTTTGAGCATGCCTGCACACACACATGCCCTGTGTGTCTTTCAAGCTGTAAGAGATGGAATTTGAAACTGGCCAGCCATGTGGGAGCTGGTTCCTAATGCACAGTGCTTGGCCAACACATTCTAGGGGTGGCTAAAGGAGTTTCAAGTATTTATAGCCAAAGGAAACAATTTATAATTCTCAGCAGTCTAATAATTTTATTGTAAAAGTTCTATAGTAAAATATTTTAACCCACTCAAAGGTTTACTTCTTATTATTCACTTAAGAAATAAAACACATTTGTGAAAATGGGTAATTAAACATTATGAATTAAGTATATTCATTAATATACATGAATATATGTATGAGGAAATTCAGAAAGGAGGAGGCTGGTTACAAGAAGACACCTTTTATGTATTCTGTTTTCACAAAAAGTTCTGTGACATTCACATTTTATGCAGTTATTAAATATGGGGGCTCAAGTCATGCAAAGGCATTGAGTATTTTAAACATGTTCTTCTACTAAGCCTAAGCCAGATACCAACGGTGCAAAGTGCATGCAGGACACACATTTTAAAGTTATGCTTAGGATGGAATGCACACTGACTACCACCTTCTATTGGGACAGAGTACACTTAGAGGGTCGTGGAGTGAGACGGCAGCTAAGTTTCTGGTAGTCAGTGACCCTCCCCTTCCCCAGTGGTCTGAAGGGAGGGAGAAAGCTCAGGTGAGCACAAATAGTTTAGAAGGGTTGGGTATTATATCACTTAGTGGCCCTTAGTAACTATTTTACTATCTTACATGTTGTGAGAGACACTCATCATTCCCTCAGCATGTACAGGATCAGACCAGCTTAAGACTGGTCTGCTCAGTTACCACCCCATCGCCTTGCTTCCATTTTAAAAAAAATCACGCCTCCTCTTCCTCCTGAACCAGTCAGGTAGTTCACACCCACCATTTTACAAATAATCTTTTAAATGTTATTGGAGATTTTTTTAAAATAATTATTTTTATTTAATTTTATTTATTATCATATTTTAATTTGACCAGAGACAGATTGGGGTGGGGTGGTAAGAAAGCAAGTCACCAGGTCTAGGACTTGAACTGTGGTCGACCATATAGGAGTTCAGTGCCTTAACCACCACGCCACATGTCAGCCCCTATTAGTGACTTTTATGTTGCTAAATTTAGTGGACATCTAATCATCATCGTACCTGACCTATCAGCAGCATAATATATACAAGGTCTTCCAAAAAATTCATGGAAAAATAATGTATTACAATAAAAATGCATTGGACTTCAAAATTTTTTAAACCAAAATAAATTTATACTTTGATTGTTTTCCATGAATTTTTTGAAGTCCCCTCATAATTGTTTACCTCCTTTTTTTCTTTAGAGTTTGTTTGTTTGTTTGTTTTTTGCTATAGGGTGCATGCACTTACCAGAGAGAAAGTGAGAGATCATCCCCCGGGGGGGATGGCCACACCACAATCCCTTCTCCTCTTATTTGCTCAGGATTTTAGGCATGCACACACATATACCCAACATGAGTTTCAAGCTCTGGGTCTTGAACCATGGTCAGCCATGCAGGAGTACAGTGCCTTAACCACTATACCACCTGCTGGCCTCATACCTCCCCCTTTTCTTAAGCTTTCTCCACTTGGTTTCTAGAAGTATTACTACTTCCTCTGACTTTCCCTCCTACCTTATTGGCCACCCCTATTCAGTCTTTGCTGGTTCTTTTTTTTTTTTTTTTTTTTGGCCTATTAATGTTGGAGCTCAGATCATTCTATCAGTCTACCATTCACATCCTTCTCTAATCACATCTTAAGTGATGTGGCACCAGATACCAACAGCAACTTCCTAATTTATATCCAGAGCCTAGACCACTCCCCTGGTCTCCAAATCCATTTATTGAACTCGTTATTTGTTATCTCCACTTAGATGTTTAAAAGGACCAGCTGGTTGGTGCAGTGGTTAAGGTGGCTGGATCCCACAGGACCAACCCTAAGTTTGATTCTCAAACCTGGAGGCTTGAGAAACATGCCAGGTGCATGACCAAAATCCAAAAAGAGAGAATAGAGGAGAAAGGATTGTGGCATGACTATTCCCCATAGGGGGTGCTTTGTTCTCTTTCTCCATCTCTGTCAAGTGCACATGCCTTCTAGCAAGCAAAAAAAAAAAAAAAGAAAGTTTTTAAATATCACAAACTCAGTATGTCTAAAACAAATTAGTGAGCTCTCCCCAACTAGTCACCCCCCGCATCATCGTCTACCCCATAAGTTCCCCATTTCACTTACTGGTAATGACATCAGTTTTAGCTGCTCAGGACAAAAACTTATAATTATCATCGACTCCCATTTATTTCACACAGCATATTCAAACAGCAAGCAAATTTTGTTGCTTTTACTTTCAAAATACACCCAAAACTCTGCCCACTTCTCACTGCCTCCAGTGCTACTGGTCTCTTCAAGCCACCACCCATTTCTTGCCTGGATCACTGCAGTAACTTTGTAATGGGTTTCCCTCGTGCACATTTGCCCCACTGTAGTATCTGCACCTCAGCGGGGCAGCCAGCAGCTGAAATGTCAGTCCTACCATGCCTTGCTTGAAGCCCCCCCATAGCTTCTCACCTCCCTGAGAATAGCCATAAGGTCGCCTCATACATTTGGCTCTACTCACTCTTACGTTTTCTCTCTTATACTCCCATCCCACTGCCCACTTGTTCTGCTCCAGCCACACGGGATCCCTTGTTATCCACAAACACACCAGGCATGTTTCCACCTCAGGATGTATGTACCTACTATTTTTTAATTGAGTCTGGCCACTTAATTACAAGTCCAAGTGTGACACACAATGATGACACCTTCTAAATGAAACAACTGTCATGATCTTTCTTCTCCAAATACACGTTCTCGCAGGTAGTCCATCCGAGCAGCCTTGGTTGACAGTGCCATAGAGTTCCACTCAAAATGAGGGATCTGTAAAATATGTAACATGGTTTAAATTAAGTTTTAAAGCAACAACAAACAGCACTGCAGAAGACTTAGAAGCACTACTGAGCAAAGCTGCAGGAATCCTATGAAATTAGTTTTCATAAGCATAATGTTGACCCCTTTTGGGAGGCCAGGTGGGTCCTTCTTCCTGACACTGTCTAGAAGTCCTTTCTCTCCCCACTGTGCCTTTCACCCTCCTGTTGCTACAACACCTCAGTACCAATGACAGACTTTTTTCCTTCATACCTTTCTACAATCACACATTAGCCATGTTCTCCATAACCCTACCCATCTCCATGGTACCATTCTCTTCCCTTGTAAAAGAAATATGCAAATCAACAGATCTTCTTAAAAAAATAATAAATGATTTTTTTTATTCTACCAAAAAAGAAAATAAAAAGATGACTGTCTCAGAGATACTTTTAAGTACTCCTCCCCACTCCCAGGCAGGATCTCACTGTCACTATCCTTCTGTCCCAGTCCCCTGAGTAGCTGGGACTGTAGGCACAGTCCCCACACCTGACTTTTAGGGCAGGCTAGAAACTGAACCTGGGCCTCCATGTGACCCCAGCCTGCTCAGTAACAGCTGCCAGTGCTTGCTATCACAGCTGGGCACACACAACTTTTTTTAATTGCCAGAGGGCCTGTGTACTCACAAGAGAAAGAGAAAGCAGTCCCTTGTTAGGGAACAGCAGAACCCCCTCGCCCCCCAAACACCATGGATTTATGAACTTTGAATGCATGAGTGAATGGGAACTTGGTGAAAATGCTAAACTCCTACCTCATGCTTGAAAACACCAGGAGGTGATTTAGATAGGTGTGTTATCTGATGAATGTATTTTCCAAATTCTTAGGTGTTTGTCTATCCCAAGGGTCATCTGGAAACTTTCTTTTATTGATAACTAAACTCAACATGCCCCAGGAAACAACCTTCACTTTTTTTACAGAGAGAGTTTTACTATATTGTGCTTATGCTTGCTAGAGAGACAGAGAGATAGAAAGCAAGAAATCACCACCCAAGAGGGCTGGCCATGCTGCAATCCCTTCTCCTCTATTCTCCTCTCAGGATTTTGGGCACATACGCACATGTACCTGGCATGCATTTAATCTGCCTAGTGTGGGATTCGAACCACGGTCAATTACGTGGGAGTCCAGAGAAGTAACCATGATGCCATCTGATGGTCCCAACAACCTTTACTTTTAATTTTCTGAAAAACAACTCTTGGTTCCTCCCATACGCTAATAAATACAGAGGATCAGAGAGACTCGAGGGGCTCATACCTGGTATGGGCTCCCCTTCTCCCTCTTGACTCAGATATCTATGTCTTGAGTTTCAGGTGACTCTCTGCCAGCAGAAGAGTCATCAGTGGTGACCATAGAGTCCCAGTCCCTAGTGGGGCATGGTCATGCTACAATCCTTTTTCTTCCATTTCTCAAATATGTTAGGGTTTTGGGAACATATACCTGGCCTATTTTTCAAGTCTCAGGGCTGGGATTCAAACCCTAGTCACCAATATGTGATCTAACTCCCTATGCATGGGGCTCAACCATTGCACTATGGGGCCAGCCCTGATTTTTTTAATATAAAAAAGGTAATTCTGTAACTTTCATATAAAAGGAAACATGTGGGAGCCAGCAGGTAACATTGTGATTAAGGTGCTAGACTCCCACATGGTCAACTTTGGTTCAAGTCCCAAATCAATGGCTTGAAAATCATGCTGGGTATATGTGCATGTGTGCCTAAAATCCTGAGAGAATAATGGAGGAGAAGGGATTGCCATGTGGTCATTAATCTAGGAAGTGATTTCTCACTTAACCTCCCTCTGTCTCTCTCTGCCAAGTGCACAAACCCTAACACAAAAAACTTAAAAAAAAAAAAAAAAAAAAAAAAAAAAAAAAAAAAAACCC